AAGATGCTTGGCCCTAGCTCCGCAGCTCTCCTGGACTCTCCCCTTCAAAGCCTTCTTATTTGACTAAGAGATTCGATTTCATTTCATATTTCTTTATTTGCATGTTCCATAATTTTTTTTAAAAAGAGTGTGTTAATAAGATGATAAATGGTATTAGGATAATAATTGCCATCCTTTACTATGTGCTTATAAACCAAGTATTTAATATATATTTTCTCACTTTATCTTCCCAACACTCCTATGTGGTAATTACTATTATTTCCACTTTACAAGGAAAAAAAACCCCAAAAACTAAAGTTTGGAAAGAATGTGAGCTTGCCCAATGATAAATGGATCCATTTGGCTTAAAAAAAATTATCTTTTCAGTACACCATATTGCTTCTGTGGGTACAGTTTGTTAGTCTACCATTTTGAAACAGAACAGCATCCATACTCTGTGATAGAAATGTGCTTACTGTTTCCAGAGTCAAGAGTACGGCTTTTCTCTGAATACAATGACTCGACATTTGTCCACACACTGATTATACTCGAGGACAATGCATCATTTGGTATATCGTTGGTCTATTTTGATAAATCTCGATGCTCTACTCTCTTCAAGCTTTAGTAAAGCCACAGTGCTCTTTCCTGTCGAGCTCAACTCAAATCAAAATTTACCAAACTTCGCAAATGATTTTTTTTTCTACTTTGAAACAGAATCGTGACACTTTTCTCAAAATCCCAGCCTCTGCATTTTGTTCACCAGACTATGCTTTCTTTGATGTGGGAATGAAGATGCGATTAAGGCAAAGAAGTAGAGGATTGGAGTTTAGAGGGAACATCTCTGCTCCCTGTTTTCCTGACCCTTCCCTCACTTCCACAAAGGAGGAAGAGTCAGGCTCTGATGAGAGGAGAAGGAAGACTTCCAGTGTCCTGGGTTATTTGTTAGAAAGCCACATATTGCAACACTTTAAAAGTATTCATTTAAAGTCATTTACTTTAAAATATTTTCAAACAAAATTTAGTGTTAAAAATGTAGTGTGCTATGCCTGTGTCCTATTCTAAAGTTGATTTGCAGTGTTGCTACACTTCGAATGTGTTAGAGACATAAAAATCAAGCATTACCAGGAAAATAAAAGAATACATACGTTCTCATAAAGTAAATTACAGAAAATACCAGAATTGTGTGAAATGCCGATATTGGAAAAACATGATCATAAGTCCAAAAACTGCTTTTGCCAATTCTTTAGTGCTCAACAGAGAGAGATGCTATTTTTAGTGCCTAACAAAAATCAAGTCTATTTTAAAGAAAAACTTATGTCCTAAACCATATTCTTTGTATTGGACTATGTTTTTCTTTTGCCTGAGGACCAAGTTAGTTAAAAAATCCTTCCTAATTTTTACAGTGTTGTCTTTGCTTATTAAACAGAGCATGTGCAAGCAACAGGGAGTACTGAGCTACATGGACATCTTCTAAAATGAAACAAATAGAGTATTGTGTAACAGTTAACATGGGTGAGCTTTAAGGAATGAAAGAACTAACCCTAAGTTTCAGAAATGAAGAATGTCAGCTCACAAGCTGCTGCCTTCGTGGCCCAGCGAGGATCACCCCTGGAACAGACCCTCATGGCGAGGTGCTGGTGTTTGGAGGACGCAGACTCATGGTCCTGGCCTGCAAGAGGTGGGAGTTGGGCCTGAAACCCTGCATTAAGCTGGCACCTTGCAAATTCTGTACCTTCAGTAAAGGAGAATTAAACATGCCAATGACGTGTCTTGAAATGCAAAGGGAGTTTGTCTCTGTCAGGAAATGTGGACAGAAAAACTGTTTCTAGTGAGAAACGGAAACAAAGTATGGCGTGGGATTGTAGAACAATTTTTGCTAGCTACATGGTGCAGAAATCCTCAGGAGAAGACGCTAATGTAAATCTGGTCCTAGACTGGGAATGCCCTTGGAGCTCCTGGCAGAAGCAAATACAAAACCACTCCCTAGGGAAACTTTCATAAACCAATGTGCCAGACATGCACAGAAAAAACAAATATGGGCCCCAAAATAAAAATTATAGATAACATGAGGAAACAATTCCTTATGAGAGAAATCAGCAGACACACCAACAGGAAGATGAGCACTGTAAGAACTTGAGATAATTAAACAATCTGAAAGAAGTTACAAAATAGCTATGTTTAAATGACTAAGTAGACAAAAGATGGAATAGAAATAATAGGACACAATTTAAAAAGAATAGGCAAATTTGAAAAATTAACAATTAGAATATCTACAAATAGAAAAACACTCATTGAGAAAAAAAATCTCAGTGGATGGTGTATCAGTTCTCTGTTGTCGCAATAATGCTATTGCCTAGGACCTGAGACCATACAACAAGTGCTTATTGCTCACGTGCCTGGGGTCAGCTGGGGCTGGCAAGGTGGCTCTGCTGTCCTTGGCTGGGCTTGCTCACTTATGGCTGGGTCAGGTGGCTGTTGGCTGAGCTAGGATGGCCTCAGTGGGGGTGACCCGGCTCTGTTCTTTGTGCTCCTCACCCTCCAGCAACTAGCCTGCGTATGTTCTTATGACAATGATAGGAGTGCAAGGGCATGAACAACTGGCACACGGTCACTTCTGCCCTATTTTCACGATCAAAATAGTGACATGGCCAAGTCCAGAGTCAAGAGGTAGGGCAGGTCACCCTATTTATGGTGAGAGGGCATTGCACTGCACAGTCGTATGGAATAAGTTGTGGATACAGGGAGAAATGAAGAATTGAGGATGTTACCGCAATAGATTGCTGATAGGAGAAACAGCTGGCTAAACACACCCAAGCAGAGAATGAGTAAAGAAGAAAGACCTGAGAAAATCCCTCCATCTACAGCAGAGAAGTAGAGAGGGAGAACCTATGAAACAGTTAGATGTTAGGACAGACTGAGATGGCCTAACGTACATCTAACAGAAGTGCCAGAGGAGACTTATATTCAAGAGAGAAATTGTGAGAATTTTCCAGAGTTTTTAACAGGCATGCTTTCTTATCATTTGGAAGCACAATAAGCCCTGAGAAGAACTTATTTTTTAAAAAGTCACACCTAAACACACTTTAGTAAAACTTCAAAATATAAAGAGAAAATCTAAAAGCCACCAGGAAGAATAGACGGGTTACTTATGAAGAGACAACAAATAAATGAACGCAAACTTTTCATCAGCAACAATAGGTACCAGAAGACAATGAGCTAATATTCTATGAGTGCTGAGGGCAAATAACCACCTATCCAGAATTCTATAACATACTAAATAATTAGTGAAAACTGAGGGCAAAATGAAGACATTTTTCAGACAAAAGCCCATGCTGAAGAACTGTTACCTAACATGCTTTAGAAAGAAAGATCTGAGAAGCAACGGTAATCAAAGACATTGGTAGAAGTGGATAATTTAAGTTATTATTAACTGGAAATAAAACAGTAACCATAATAAGGACTAATGCGGAGGAGGCATGAAAACAGAGTAGATTAAGTTACTTCACATGGAAAATGAGAAGTTGCAACTAAAGTTAATGTTCCAAGTTCTTCGTGTTATTCAGGAGAAGAATAGAAATACTAGTAAACCATAAACTTTAAGTCAAGTGTGCTTGTTAAGATGTAAGAGTAACTATTGAAAGAACAGGAATAGAATATATATATTTAATGTATATTTATATCTATAATTCGAAGCACACAATGAGATAGAAGAAATGAATAAAAATATATCAGTAATCGTAATATTTGTAAATGTATTAAACCAGATAAAAAATGCTTAACCTCGCTAATAATCAGGGAAATGTAAGATGAAGCAAAGAGATAGCATTTTCTAACCATTGCATTGGCAAAAGAATTATATGGCTAATAACACCAGATTTATTGCCAAAGATAGGGGAAAATGGGACACATTATACACAGGAGGCATAAGTTTAACTTGGTATAACTACTTTGTAGGGCAGTGTACTACTACGTAGTAAAATTGAATACATGCAAACATATGACCAGATCTTAGAGAAACTGTCATGTGCATACTCAAGTGATATACCTAAGGAGGTTCACAGGGGAAAATTGGAAGCAACCTAAAAAATATGTTATAAAGCAACCTAAAAACAGTAAGTTGTAAAAAATATATAGTACACACTCTCTCTCTCTTTATATATATATATATATATATATAAATACACACACATACACACGCACACACGAGCAGGTTTAAAGTTGTATATATATAACCTGCTTATGTAGTTATAAGTACATACTCACAAGTAAAAGTTTCAAAATGTGCCCCAAAGGATCCACTAACTTTAGGGCAGTGGTTACCTCTGGGAAGAAAGCAAAAGGAATCTAAAGTTAACAAAGGTGAAGAAGGCTTCAATGGATTCTTTTTTAAAAAAAAAAAAAATCTATGTTATATATGGCAAGATGTTAGCAATTGTTAAATTTGTGTGGCAACTACACAGCCATCTGTTACAGCTGCACATTTCTATATGTTTGAAATACTTCATAAGTAAAAATTTAAAGAACACTGACTAACGTAAAATAGTCAGAGAAACACCAGCAGTCATCAGAATAGAAGATGAAATGCAAAGCCACGGTGAAGTGTTCAAAAGACTCACACTTTCGAAAAGTCATGACATTCCCAAGGTGAGGCATTAACAGAAATGTGAACGTGACCATGATTGTGTACTGGAGATTTTCTACTTCTTTAGAAAAAAATTAATGTTTAACTCAATGTATTGCACTTAGCAGTGTTAGGAGAGTCCCATAAAACATGCTGTTCTCTGTCACTCAGCAAAACCCAAATTAGAATCAGTCAGCTTTGAAATTTCATGACTTTCTGGGCCCGGAGTTCACCACCTCCACCATGTATTAGCATTATTTTCCCATCTAAGTCTTCTTGGGCAGCAGCAGTAATAACCTTGGATTTTTGTTAGGACTGGTTAGGTCAGGACTGAACCTTCCTTGGGTTTCAAGGAAAATAGTACCCACTCTCACTTCTGGGTGGGGTTTGTCAGACTCACAGAGCTCCTGTCCAGCTGCAAGTCTGATTTTCCAGTGTGGTTCGCTTCCCAGTTGGAGCACATTCGTCTGATGCTGAACATAAACACAGGCTTTAATCTTCCAGTCACTGGAATGGGCGAGCCACAGGCAATCAGGAGACCCTCAGCCTCGGGTCTTTTAATTCCCTTTTCAGGGACTGCTCACAAGCAGACAGCACTTGCTTCAGATAGTGTTGAATTGGATCCAGCTTTTGGGGTAAAATCATAAGGAAAGAGTAAGCCTGAGGTAAACTGTAAATTAGTGTGTGTGAGGCACATTTTAAAGATCAATTTAAATTTTGGCAATGAGATGATTTTAAAATCAGCATTAGGACTGGACTATCATTTTAATGGGGCATCCACATAACAGCCCCCTCCCACTATGGCTTAGCTATGCACCAATTTCCCGTAAGTGAGGGAAATCAACAACCATTATGACCAGCAGGGTAAGATGTTGCAGAGAGATGCTCCTCACAATCCTACTTCACCTTTAAGACCCAGACCAAATTCCCTTCTCTTTTTTTAAAAAAAATATATTTATTGACTTAGCAGATTTCTTTCTTTCTTTCTTTCTTTGTGAGGAAGATTGGCCATGAGCTGTGCCACATAACATCTGTGCCAATCTTCCTCTATTTTGTATACAGGATGCCGCCACAGCATGGTTTGATGAGTGGCATGTAAATCTGTGCCCAGGATCCAAACCTGTGAACCCCAGGCCGCCAAAGCGGAGTGTGAAAACTTAACCACTATGCCACTGGGCCGGCCCCCAAATTCCCCTCTCTTGTTGATGTCACTCTCCTTGGACTCTCGTCTGCCTTAAAAGACTCCAACATTTAGAAACAGTGGTGAAATAGAAAGAGTTCCCTTGGCTTTGTAGCCGGGTAGACGTAGGTCTGAATTCCAGTCTCAGTTTACTCACTGTACGATCTCAGTCACCTCGTTTAACCTCTCTGGACTCCATTTCCTCATCTGAAAATTGGGGAAATAATAATACTCATCTCGAGATGTTGTTGGGAGGGTAAAGGAGATAGTTCACAGCCTGGCCAGGGGGAATGTTGAATTAATCACTGTTGTTACAAACATTCTTCATCTTATTGTTCTTTCAATTATTTTTCCTTATCCTTCAGATTTCCATTCCAAGTCCCATTTTGAACTTAGAGAAAAGCTTTGTAATTTTATTTCTGACTGCTATTGATTTGAAATATCATGCTTCATTTCCAATAAATTAGCTTTTCTTGAACTTTTGTTTGATATCCTGTGCCTCACGTTTCCTTTTCTCAAACATGATTAAGAACAGAAACATTCTAAAAATTGAAGTCAATCATATGCAGAAGTCAAGTGTTTTCAGTCTTAAGTGCCTCTGTTGACCAAGCCACTTGAGGTGCTACTGACCTTCACTGGCTTCTTAGAGTGGTCTGTTGGTTCATTGGTCAACAGTGACCTGGCCACTTGAGGCACTGGTGTTGGTTAAGGTCAGCCATTGGGGAACAGAAAATTTCAGCTTTGGTCGCATTGTGGAAGTCATATTCCCAGTAAGAAAGGCCACCAAAGCAGCCAGGGTAGTTGTAAGTTAAATCATTTTCATTTGGAGATTGCCAGAAGAATGAGCCTGAGAACAAGGATCATTCTTTTATATCATTATGCAACTTCAAGCATGATCAAACTTCAGCATATAGCACATGCTTAATAGTCACTTACTGTGTGGTAAGTATGACCCCTCCCATGTGGAGTCTTCATTGACTCTGAAACAGAATATTATGAACTAAATGTGTCCCCCTGAAATTCATATGCTGAAATCCTAACCCAAGGTGATGGTATTATAAGGCGGGGCCTTTGGGAGGTGATTAGGTCATGAGGGTGGAGTCCTCATGGATGGGCTTAGTGCTCTTATGAAAGGGACCCCAGAGAACTCTCTTGTCCTTTTTCTGCCATGTGAGGACACAGGGAGAAGGCAGCAGTCTGTGAACCAGGAAGCATCTCTCACCAGACACTGAATCTGCTGGCACCTTGATCTTGGACTTCCCAGCCTCCAGAACTGTGAGAAATAAATGTTATTTAAGCTGCCCAGTCTGTAGTATTTAGTTGTTGCAGCTCAAATAGACTAAGAAACAGACTCTATCTCGAATGGTTGACAGTAGTCAAGTCCTCCCCTTGTCCCACAAAAGCCCTGTAAGCAAACGTCTTTATGACCTGAAACTTGTTCTTTTATTTATTATTTTTAATCTTATCCAAAGAGAAGCACCTGGTTATACATACTTTAAATATTAGGAAATGTAATTCTGGAAGGAAAACCAAATCAATGAAGTTTTGTATATCAAGAGGAGTTATTTTCCTAAAGCAAATTTCAACTTTGTAAAGATTTCAGATGTTAGTGCTCTGTGGGTTCAGGAAAATGTGTCATTGTCTTGTATTTTTAATTTTGTACACAATTACTGAACTTTTAAAACATAACCACAGGGACTCCAGCATCCCCTGGGACTGCAAACGGGAGGCTTCAGTGCTATGCACAGTCTGGGGAGGCTGTCATCCTCCCCAGGGTCTCAGAATGGGTCCCCTTCCAACTAGTGGACCCTTCAAGGGACCCTGCTCATGACAAAGTCTCTTTCTGCCCACCCTCTGCATGGCCCTGCCTAGAAGAGTGTCATATATACCGAGTACCGCATTTTAACAGAATCAAGAGCTCTAAAGAAGAACAATAGAAATACTGTGGTGCTCCTGGCATTTCTCCTAGGGAGTCAATTCTTATTGCTTATAATTGTAATGGAGCTAGCACTTTTGAAACACATTACTAAGCTCTCTTTTCCTTTCTGTGTACATGACCATTTTCATAGTCCACACCCCCCTATCTGCTGGAGGATGGGAGCTAGAGGAGGCAATTGGGATTCTTTGAATAGGAATTTTGAGTCCTTAGTGAGGCAGTATGAGGAAAAATAAGGATTTTAAAAATGCTTATGTTTCCATTAACATATCAAAAGCTAGGCCTGGTGTACTTGAACATGGAGAGTGCTAGAAGCCAGGGAGAATTCACAATATGATATAAGAGTATTTCACATCAGACAGATAGGAAAGGTAGAAAGAGGTCCTCACCTTCTAGTTATGAGTGAGAGGGCAGGAGAAGTAGAGCAAGAAGGTCAGAGAAAGGTCCTTGGTCACCATTCATCCTGGCAGATGAAATTCAAGGAAGAGAGTATTATATAAATATCCAACTAGGCATAGGTCAGCCTGCGAACACTGGAGCCAGTGGAAGCTCCATATTCGGCTCGGGGCCACATGCAACATGGTGTGAGGGAATTAGTGCAGCTACGGTGGAGAGAGAAATCGGCACAGACAGCCAGAGACACCACCAGAGGCTCCCCAAAGCCTAAGTTTGGCCTGCAGTGGCCTGAAAGTTTCCAAGTGCTGTCATGAGAGAAGCAGAGGTTCTTGGATGTCAGAGACCAGGGGACTAAACAAAGGGGCCACAGGGAAGGGAACTTTGAGGCTGGAGACACACAATAGAGGCCACAGATTTCAGAGACGGGTGCCAGCCTGATGTTCTATTAGCGCTAGATGGGATCAGCTGCATCTCAGTGGCCCCATTAAGGGACTCAGACCAACCCAAGTAGCCATGGATTCCTCACAAGGGCACAGTGGACAACACCTGACCTGCCACCTCACAGTGGAGCAAAAGGACAGTGAGAGGAACTGAGCACGTGGATCTGGGAGCCTCCTCTCCTCGCTGCCAAGAAATCAAGTAAGCCCCTTCTCACGTACGCAATCGGGTAGATGTCCTCTCAAAGAGGAGCAGTGAGCAGAGACGGGAAATGGAGGAGACATGGCGTGTATCTGAAAGAGAACAAGTCATCTAAGTAAGACTATTTAAACCAAAGGCATGAAGATGCTATTGACTGGCAAATTTCAAATCACTACCCTCCACCCCACCTTCAGGACACTGGGCAGAGTGTGAAAGACTGGATGCCTAGTAGGAAAGAAGGTATATTTTCTTTGCACCTATGCGCAAAAATGGTAAGATGCACCAAAAAGAAAACAGTTGTGTATCTTTTAATAGCCTCTTCTTCATAAAAGGATTTGAGGCAACTACGATCTATGTAGTATTGGAAAATAAACACTTAAGGAAAGGATCCAAAGATTCAGTAAGTTTTAGTTATTGGGCATGAAGAATAAATGAGGACAATACACTTAATACAGGCGTTTCAACATATAGAATGTTAGTAGGAGAGATGTGGTAACTTGTGTCTTCTCTGTTCAACATTTTTGTGGAAGAAATCAGAGAAGCAAGAAATGTCTTAGTCATACCTGTGTCGCTGGCACTTTCTAGACTTCCTGGAGCATAGTGTATGCTCAGCAAATATTTGTTCATGAATAAATGAAAAAATAAACTGCTTAGCACCCGAATGGATAACTTAAGACATTTTTGAGCTCTTCCAAGCCCTTGATAGTGCTATGGGCTAAATAGTGGAGTGGGGGGATCTTGTGTGGCACAAGGTAGGGGCTCTTTGGTACCTCATCCCCACTCCGAGAGACCTGCCACAGAAAGAGGGAAAAAGGAAGGAGTGGATACGAAGACTTTGCTGTGTATCCCACCCCTATCTCCCACAGGCTGTGAGGCTGGTTTTAGGGAGGGGTGTGTGTGTATCTGTATGTGTGTGATTATTTCCTGGGTAGGGGTGATCACGGCTGCATCCTTAGGTGAACTGATATGACCTTCGGCGGGTACCTCATGGAGAGGCATTCTAGAGCAGAGACTCTGGGTCCAGAGCAGAAGGGCTCGGTCTGGGAGGAAGGAAGGGAGCACCCAGGCATGACCTCAGGGAGGCAGGCCCAGCCGAGTGGGCCCAGGGGACCATTTTGTCTAAAATTAGACTTTATATACATATCTACATAAACTCACGGAATGTACTGAAAGGAGAAGAACATAATATACCTTTAAACTTGTGTTCCATTAAACTAACAATGTGTGATGGATTGACATATTTTTTAATAAGCCCTGTAATGTCTTTGTGAACAGCACCAAGAGAGTTAAGATGCCAATTCATTAAATGTAAACATTTGAAGTATATTATTACTAGTATAATCCTGTTTTGGCCTTTATTTTTTAAAACACCAGCAATCTCAAAAACTAAAACCACCAAGGCCCCATTTGAGACATTCTGGTGCAAATATGAGGAAGTAACACCACATAGTGCTACTGGTAGTTCTCTAAATGTGATGCTTTTTCTGTCCCTTCTGTGCATTTTACACACTGTTCCCTGGACTGGGAGCACAGACTTCTCGTGTTCACCCAGCCTCATCCTCAGCAATATGTTGGGGGCTACATCTTTCCTCAAGACTCAACCCAGGTATCACGTACCCCCAGAAGCCCCCTGGACCCCCTAGTCTGAGTTTGAGACCTTTCCTCTGAGATTTATAGCACCTGTCCTGTTCTTTGCCACTCATCTCTCTTCCCCATGGAGTGTAGATCCCTTTAGGGCAGACACCATGCATCTCATCCTCTTTGTGCTCTCAGAATTTAGCACAGTGTCTGGCATGAGGCAGATGCCCAGCTCTTACAGCAAGATTCTGGGAGCCTCACATTCCTGGCTACGCCCCTCCCCAGAGTGACAAGAGCACTGTTTTAGTGGGAGGGTATGGTTCTAAGTCAACATGTGTGAATCTCACCCATTCAGCAGAAAGCGTGCCAAGTGGAGAGAGACCCAAATGCCACCCAGTTGTGCATCAGGACTCTACTTTCTTTTGTCCACCATTAGAGGTTCAGGGGCAAAATTATCCAGAGAGAAAATTGTCATGGGAGAGAGAATATGAAAATGCTAGCATGGTACAGGAAGACAGTGGGAAGTGAAATGTTCTGTCTGAGGCAGACACTGTGGAGCATGGACTTGGCGGAGCTGAGGCAGCCCCTACTGATGGCAAGGCTGTGCTGAGCCATGGGGCTCTGCCTGGCACATGGCCTTCGTTCCCCTAACGCCCAGTGATGGCCTGAGTTTGCTTTCTGTAGTCCCACACGCAGGCTTTCTGAATACAAAAAACTTTTTCCATTCCCATTCAGGTGACTTGCCTTTTGCAATATAGTCAACAATAGCAGCAAAATCATTGAGGAACAACTTACCATAAGAGTAGGATCGAGTCTTGAAAAGATTGAAAACAAGGGGAAATAATTTAGGACTACCCAGAAGATATTAATTATTACTCTACTTTCATGGAGTCTTCAAGACTACTCTACACTTCACCCAAGTGATGACCACTTGCCTTAATGTCCTGGGGAGTTGTTAGATGGAGGCCATAAATATTTCTGGCATTTCCTGGCACTGTTCATGATCAAGATCCTTGGCTGACAGAATGTGCACTGGAAACAGACATATTAATTAGTCTAACTAATTCATTGGAGTAATTAATTATCTAACACTTACCTAATTAGCTCACACTTCCACCTGTCAGAGCCAGAGGTAAACGCCAGACTGGAATTCGGTGGTCCTCCTCATTATACCCTAAAAATAAATTGAGGGAGACAGCACGGAACGCCAAATAAAAGTGTGAAGTCCCTAAAAGTGGTAAGTGGGCATGCTGAGTCTCAAAACTGCCATTGGTTGTTGGGAAAGAGCAGCAGGTAGAACCAATTTGAGGTGAGTTATGAGATAAGAGACTTAGATATTACTATAGACTACCAACACTAACTTCTGTCCCCAGTTACAAAAGCAGCACACATGTTCAGGCTTATTTTTCCTCAAAGTTGTCATTATCTTCACCAAGATCAGTTTTTTCAGGGATTTTTGGATACCTTGGGCAAAATGACAAATGTCTATTGGGTGGTAGCAGTGGCAAGATTTAGGCTGCTACGTTGGTTCCCTATCTCCTTTCCTTTTCATTCTGTAATCTTTGCTAGCTGGCTGAGATGGACTGAAGGAGGCCAGCATGGAATTCAAGCAGTTTGTCCAGGGTGACTGTCACCAGGAAGAAGAGTGTCTTCCAACATGGAGATCCCAGTTGAGATTCACTGCTATGCACCTTCTTAAAGAGAAATCCATGCACGTTATGAAATGCCTTGTATCTGCTGCTGTTTGGGCATTTATCAGCATTTTAGGCTCTGATTTGCTTGAAAGTCATGAGACTATTGTTCTGGAAACTCTCACCAGCATAGAACTTCAGCTGATTGCTGTGGAAGCTTAGGTCAAAAAGGAACAGGATGAAGTTTCTCTAAAATCTTAGATTTTCCATCCCCAAAGCGTTATGTGAGAAGCAGCCGCAAAAGTAGTGAATTCATGGGTTTCTTAACAGAGACACTGTGTTTTCTGAAAATCTTAAGCTGTATTTTCTTCTTCTACCTGGTTTGACCTCCCACATCTGGTTCATTGGATTTTATAGGCAGCCTGGGGTTTAGCTTAGTGAAGCCCTGGGAAATAGGTTTTGTTTAATTGTCAGACCTTCTTTGCGAATTTGAATGGGCAAAGTTCAGATGACAGGGCATTCTGAGGTCCTGCCTTTGATGTTTTTCTCATTTGTGATCACAAAGAATGAAAACAAGTTGGTGAGGGGTAGGAAGGGGTGGAAAAATGAAATGTTTGGTCACCGAAAGTTCTCATGTGTACTGGACACATTTTTGAGACAACCTGGTGGAGTTGTTATGGAAACCAGTTGAGGGCTTGCATCTATATACAGCTGTCCGAAAGTAGACAAGTCTGTGTGCTACCCTAGACCCATGCTGGGACCAAGGCCAGATGTAAGGCACAGGCACGCTGGTCAACAGTTAACAAGCTAACCAACCTAGTCAAGGAGATAGGATGCCACACCTTCAAAGGCAGCCTATCTTCTTGGGGAAGTGTTGGTCTGAGAGCTGGGCTGTAGTATAACATGTCATGTCAGGAAGGATATTTTTGAATTGATAAGGAAGTTTAGAATGCTAAAGGAAAATTCCCATTAGCAATTTAAAAAAAAACAAGTTTTAAGGAAGGGTGTCATTCTAACTGGAAGCTGAACTATTATGATTCGTTCTATAATTTAATAGCAAATCACAGTTTTTTTCTTTCCTGACATCAACTTAAGAGTGACTATCCACATGGTATAAAAGATGGTTTCGATTTTACTGCTTCCAATAAAGCCATGATCTGACAGTAATACATACATTGAGGGAGTAATTTTGATTTTTCGTTTGTTTTGATCAGATGGATATTCTTTGGGTTTTGTATTAAATGTTCAGAAGACGGACCTCTATAGTTACGTAAATTTCTTAAGTTTAGAGATGATATAGTTGGAACGCAGCTCACAATACAAAACAAAATAAAAATAATACAAATTTTCTTTCCAATGGTATTTTCATTCCTTGGTTCTTGGGGACAGGGGTTGGCTCAACTAACAAAGTGGGGCAATATGTCAATTACATCGCAACAACAAAAACAGAAAATGGGGTAAAGGAAGTCACAAGAAATATGCAAAAGTCTAACTAACCTGCATGAGCGAACAAATTCAAAGTCCAGCCTGGAATTCAGCTTGGAGTTCAGCCTTTAATTCCAGGACCGTGGCCTGTGTCTGAGAAATAATTAAAGGGGCCTCCCAGTGCCTAAGGGAGATTTCACTGTGTTGCAGCATATTATGAAGTGATCTCATATGCTTTGTGATGGACTTTTCATAGAATTCACTTTTAGAATACCGTGTATGTTATTCGTCTCAGGGGTAGACATAAATCTGCCAAAGCTGTCTGCAAATTTAGCTCCAATTCTTGCCCCAGGTTCACAGAACATAATAGAGCATTAATCTTCATGAGGCTTAAGGAATTTTTGTGAATTCCTTCTGATTCACTGAGAGTTGTATGAAATGTCTGGCTTAGAGCCTCCATTATGTCAGCGTTTCAGAAAATGCTCCACTTACCCATCCTAAGCAGAAGTAGCCTCCTACCAGGATCATTTCTTCAGGGAAGCTAAGGAGAGAGAAAAAGAAAAATTATGAAGATGAAGGTAATGGTAAAATGGAAATCCTTCCTCTCAACCAGCACTTTTCTTTGGTTACCAATATTTAACACTGGCTATGCTGTGTAACTTGTCATGGTTTGCTAAAAGACTTTATTCCCAACCCCACCTTTGACGCATGTTTTAGGAAAAGAAAAGAAAATGCAAAACAAGGCTGAGGAGGAAAGAATACACGCAAGTCTATTTAGTAAAAATTATATATTTTGGAAAGGTTGAAGTATTGCAATTGCCAGATTCATGCTGGGTTGAATTTGGCCTGATACCTCAAATTAGTCTTTCCTTTGGCCATTGATACAGTGATCATCTTAGAAGTGCTTCTTGATGAGTCTAATAGGATAAAAATCTTTGACAGACATGCCCCCCAATTTTTTGACCAAGGAATCATGAGACGTTGGGACAGACATCAAGAAAAACTAAAGAATATCTGCTAATGAATTAACAGGAGTACCATAATTGATAGAAGAGAATATAGTTAATGGTTATACTGGTTTGAAAATTTCTTCTTGGAGATAGGAAAAGTGGAGTAGATCAGTGACTTTAAAAATGTCAAGGTCCAGATCTCATTGACGAATTGAATCAGAATTTCTAGGGCTGGGGTCCAGGTATGAGCACTTTTTAGAGTGCTGCAGGTGATTCTGGTAAGTAGTTAGAGTTTAGCATCACTGCAGTCAATGAATGACACTCTTTCGTAGAGAAATGATTCATGGATTCAGTTGAGAATCCAAAGGAAAATCTCCAGATAGTGAGAGATTGACAGTTTTGGCAGAGTACAACAGAAAGCATGAGAGAAGTTGGAAGAAAAAGTGGATGGCAGCATTTCTCCAACTTTAATGTGCACAGGAACCACATAAGAGTTAGTTAAAATGCAAATTTTGATTCAGTAGGTCCAGAGTAGAGCCTGAGACTTTGCATTTCTAACAAGCTTCCCAGATGATACTGCCAATACTTCTGGTTCCTTGACGACACTTTGTCTAACACAGGACCATGGATAAACGTCCTCTTACCTCTCCCAAGAGAAGGGAGATGTCCTTTTGCTCTGAGGCTTAAAGTCTTATTCTGAAGTGGTAGAGTGTACTAATATCATGAAATGTTTTATTTTTGAATACAGCGTGATCCACTAACTAATTAAAAATCTCTTACTCTAAATGTTTTTGAGGAGAAAATTAATAGTATTTCTGTTCCACTTCCTGAACAGTTAAATTTAATTCAACAAATAGAATTTCTTGAGACTTAGGGATTAAAAAAAGATATATGAGACAGCTTGCATGAGGGAATTCACAATCTTTCTGGAAAGACAGAAAATTAACATGTGAAATGCTATCTATCAGCTTAGTGTGAAAAAAATGCTTTAGGAGCACAGTGCTGGGCAGGAATTCATAGTGACTAAGGAGGAAAGATGCTTGGAAAAGCCTTTGTGGAAGAAGTGAGATTTGAATTTGACCTTGAAGAATGAGCAGGATTTTGAAACATAAAAATAGAGGGGAATGAGAAGGATGTTTCAGGAACAAAGGCCTAAAGAGGGTCCTCAGCTTTGCTCATCAATCATATGGGAAGATTTTAAAAATACTTTCAGAGTCTAAATTCGTTGGGGCCTGGGCGCCCGTGCTTTTTAAAAAGCTTTCTGATGATTTTAACAGTCAAGGATCACTAGATTTATATGAAGATACAAGGTTTTTGTTGAGATATTTAGAAGCAGTTAGCGGGAAATGGGAAGAATGTTGTGCAAAGAAGTCTCAGATGTTTCTTGGCAAAGGTGGCTTGACCTGTTGTGGCATGGGGTGGATAATTTATCACTCATAATAAAGCAATATATAATTGTTATTGAAATAACCAAAGGCTGTGGGTGATGTGTTTCATAAATATGAATGAGATTGAATTAAGGTCATTCCTACAGCAGCAGTCAGCTCACTGTCTTGCATTCCATGACTTGCATTACTTTACCGAGAGTGAGGAAGGATTGGTGGCCCAGCCATCATTGCTGTGATGGGGGCCTGGGTTTGGACAGTGGCCACTGGGGTGGAAAGGAGATGGTATATTCAGCACAGTTGCTGGAGTCCTTAATGGAGGTGTTACTCAAAGTGTGGTCTTCGGACCAGCAACATCAGCACCAATGAGGAGCTTGTTAGAAATGCAAATTCTGACACACACATACCCAACCTGCTGAATCAGAATTTCTGGAAGAGGAGTCCATGAAGTGTCCAGTGATTCTTATGCATGCGAAACTTTGAGAAGCACTGGTCTATGGAGCTAAAAGAGACTATAGGACCCATAGATTACATACATACATGCAGTCAGACACAGACATACACAAAACCTCCTGGAAAGCCGAGAAGGAGGCAAAGACATGTGCAGAGAAATAGAGATAGCAGTGAAAACGGCAGGAAGGGCATGTGGAAGGATCCCCATGGGACCATAAGGCTGTCTGTAAGTCTTTACTAAAATTAGGTCTTTCACTTTATCCCTCCCCCCTTCTGCAAGCTCTTTAGCCTTACTTTTTTTCCTTCATGCCTTTTCTTGAGCGTTCCTTTTCTTGATAAGCTCTCAATCCTGTTTCTCCAAAACTATGTCCCCATTCGTTCATTCTTTGCTCCTATTCTACCCAAATTGAGACTCTCCAGGTTCCTACTCAGCTCTCTGCTTCCACTCCATCATCCTGCTTCATTTGTTTCTCATTTAAATCTTCGAATGGGAGAAAGATCCTTTCCAAGTACTTTGACCAAACTAAGAACCTCTCATGATCATGTAGGCTACTCCTGTTTAAAATATCAGTGCCTTCTTGCTCAATCCAAAACAGGTCGTTAGCATAAAGAAGCGAGTATATGCCACACAGCCATTCAGGGATCCAGAACTTTCTACCTAGTGGCTCCACCATCTCCTGCATTTGGCCAAAAGACAAGGAGAGAGAGCGTGGGAGAAAGAATCAGATTTGAGTGAGTTACTGTTTTTTAGGAGCCAGGCCTAGAAGCAGATGTGTCACTCCCATCCACATTCCATTGGCCAGAAGTCGATCAGACGACCTCACCTTACTGCAAAGAAAGCTGAGAATATAGTTTAGCAATGTGCCCAGGAGAAAAAAGAAAAGGGATTTGGTGAATACACGGTATTCTTTGCCACACTCTACTTTTTCTTGTCAGTCTCACTAAAGCTAGTACATTTCAGGTTCTCAATGTTGGGAGGCGTAATAGTGAGAGCTGGTTATTCTGTGTTTACTGCATATCAGAGGTGTTACAAATATTATCTCATTTAGGCCTTAGGGCAATCTTACAAAGTAGTTATTATCTTCACCATTCCCATTTTATAGATGGAAAATAAAGAACAAAGATAAAATAACTTACCCAAGGTTGCACAATTAATATATATATGGTTGAACTGGTAGTGGAACCCGGGCAATCTGACTGTAGTAGTCCAGTAGTGTACATTACACAGCTTCCCACGCAAAGAAAGAAGATGACCGTTAGGGCCAGATAGAACTGGATAGAAATGACTGTTCTGTAATTTACTGGTGGTACAATCTTGCAACGAGTTTCTCAATTTCTGTATGCCTCAGTTTCTTTGTTTGTAAATTGGATTATTAATATTACATACCTAATAGAAGGGTTATTGGATTAAATGAGGTAATGTATTTATTATATGTAGTTTTCATGCCATTGTGCAATTTTCATACTTAGTGCTATGCCTGGCACATGGTAAGTACACAGCAAATATTAGCTATTATTGTTATCATTATTATACCATATTGCTTCCTGACAAGTCCTTTCATCTTAACTGAAGGTTTGTATCCAATGTTTGGGCTAGCAGTAATCATAGGTGTATCCTTCCTCATTTGTGTGCTTTCTCTCCAAATTCCTTTACGTGTTTTTCATATTACTTTTTTCCGGAAAAAGATTTTTCATGTTAAAAATCCTTATGTGTATTCTATGGATGAAGACATTCTCTATCATACGGATTTAGGAACAAAAACACAATCTACTAGCAAAGTTTGGGGATGTAATGGTAAAAGTATTTCTAACTTTAGGAAAAATGATTGAATTTCGTTTGCTAATATTTCTTCTTACTTTCCCAACATAAACTTTATACATTTGGCTAGAGAAATGTCAGAGGGCCCAAAAGGAAGCGAAACCACACTCATTTTCTGAAACAGTTTAGAATGTGTACATCATGAAGAATTATTTCCACCCCAACAAGACACAAACGTTCCCAAACTAAATCTAATACAAACATGATTATTTGGCTGCTCTGGGCCCTGGAGATAAATATAATTTTATTGACAATACTGCTGAGTGTTCAGAATTCATTATGATTCAGGTCACTGTTTACCATCTACATTTATAGCTGTACCTCACTAATTCTCATTGTATTAAATCATAAAGTGACAACACTATATTATTCCACTTCTTGAGAATAACCATCATCCAATATTTTGCATTATTAAGATTTTTGTTTTTTCATAAGAAGTATTTCATGAGAAAATTGTTTATAAAATACTGCTAGGATCGTTGTACTTTTGAATTATGTATTTTATCTTAAATATATTTTAATTATGAAAGTGGTTTGTGTTCATTATTTAAAACTAAGAAAATATAAGAAAGAACAATGATTTTTTAAAACAGACCTAAAAAAACCTATTTCTTTTCTTCCAAACCTTTTTAATGAGTAGACTTAAAAATAGTTGGAATTACGTAACTTTGCATCTTACATTTTTCACTTCACTGTACATCATTAACATGTTTCCACATTATTACATTTTCTTTGAAAAACATTGTTTATGGATGTCAAGTGGCTGTGCCATATTTATATAGTTTATCATTGACTTTTATATTACAGTATTTTTCATTAACAAATTGAACTCAAATCGATATTCTTGTCCCTAAAGAAGTTTCACATTTAAGTCTATTTGCTTAGGATGATTCACAGAAATAATCAAAGGGGATAAACTTTTAAAAGAATTTTTGTTTTCCAGAAGACCTACACCTATTCACAGTCCCACCAGTAGAGAATTGGGCAGTTTTCATTTGACTTTTATTCACTTTGCAATTACAAGAACAGAAATAAAAGCTCTCACCTCCACTATTTTGATAAATCTTTCACCTTAGCTCTTTTACGTGGGTTTAGCAGAATTCATTTCCTCCATAAAATGAGGAAATTGAGTGCACAGCAGTTAAAGGAGGTTAAAGTTACATCAAACACTGACAAAGCTAAGACTTGGACCAAGGACTTGGTTCTTCCAAGTCCAGTTTCCAGGGTTCTTGCCCGCTGCACTGGGTGGACTCTTTGAGTCATAGTAACTGAGAATAGTCCATTAATTGGGAAGGGGAGTTAAAGAAAAGGGAGGAAGAAGATGAAGAGGTTAGCAAGAAGAAGAAGAAAAAGAAAGGGAGGGAGGCAATAAGGAGGGAGGAATGAGCGGGACGGAAGGAGGGAGGGAGGAAGGGAAGAAGGGAGAAAGAAAATAAGTAGATCTAGGATGTTCATTAACACTGGGTGCTACATTGCTTCCTGCCCCTCCCATCTCGTCTAGGGTACCACGATGTGTGAGCGTGTGGGATGATTTCCTGGCAGCAACATGACCCGCCCCTTTCCCCACTCCTTTCCAGTCTGCTGCTATTTGCCTTTCAGTGGCCTCCCTCTATCTTTTGCTTCATCTTCTCAATGTAATCTCTCTCCCTGCTTCTGTTTCTGATGTTTATGTTCCAAAGAGTCATTGAGCAAGGCTGCCTTTGATAGTCACTGACCAGACTTTACCTGGATTCAAGTGTTAGTTTTGAAGTTCATGCTTCACAATGATTTTCCCTGGACCCTTATCTGGGGATAACTCTGATTAATTAAAAGACTTGTCATAATTAGTAAAGTAAGGTGTACATCTAATTAGCAAACTCAAAAGCCTTAGAATATGTTTTTGAGACAGAAAGTGATCTATTGTCTACATATCTGGGTCTCTGTCTTTCTCTACCATTGGTGGAGTGCTTTCCATGTATCAGACTCAGTATTAGGGATATGCATATGCTATATCATCCAATCCTCATGACAATAAGGCAGTTAGTTATTATCCCCATTTGACACATGAGAGGCTGAGGCTCAAACACGTATGTAGTGTTATAATATAAATGTATGTACATATGTATGTACACATGTATATATATGTTATAACAAATATATCTGTATATATGTCTAAACATATATCTATAACACTACACCAATAGGTATCTATACATATATCTCCACAGATGTATGTCTGTGAGAGGTATAACACAGCTGGTAAGTGAAACACCTGGGATTAAACCTTAGGTTTCTCTCATGAAGAAAGTAAAATGGCTTTTTCTCTATTTGAAAGAAAAAAGAACTACATTTTGGTACTTTAAGTGCTAGTTTCTGGGAAATCATTGGGAGGGACAGCTTTGTTTTAGACATGAAAATAAGGGGACTCACATACACACAATCACACACACAGAGTTGTTTCATCTCTGTTACAATCCTAGGCGTCAGGCCTTTACCTCTCTGCTTGACTAGATTTCATCAGTACTTATTCTCACGCTCAGTCTGTCATAACCACTATCCAACCTTATAAGATCACCATCCACCTGGTTGTGGATCCCTTCAACAGATGCTTTTTTGGATAGAAAGACATGCTCTGGTTTAGAGTTTTGTCCCACTCTATTCACAGAATAGAGAACAATTCTATTCACAGGGCCATTTTGATGGCTAGGAGGCTGTGTGTGTGTGTGTGTGTGTGTGTGTGTGTGTGTGTGTGTTTGTGTGTGTGTGTTGGGGAGCAGGTAATATCATTCCAAATGATTGGAACTGGCTGTTCAACCTATACCAGGATTCTTCAGAGGCAGCAGGTAAAGTCTAATTGATATTTATGGATGCTTTTCTCAGAAACTTGCCTTCTTCCAGCCATATTTTTATCTTTGAATGGGAAGGTTCAATTTCTTGACTCCCTTAAATCCTAAGGCAGCAACCCTAGCCAAGAAGAGAGGACATAATCCATCAGTACCGGAAAACTCAGCCTTGTCTTCACAGAGGTGATAATCATTGTTAATAGCATTATCTTCAGAGGAAAGGAGAACTCTGGGTGTGTAAAATTTAAACCTTAAAGATTCTAACAATCACTCCTATTTCCTTCATTTCCTTACTTACTATATTTTAAAAGGTATTGTCAGCTGCTATTGCAAAATATCAGTGGCTTAAAGCAAGGTAAGTTTATTTCTCACTCACATTGAGTACAAAGTGGGTGTTCCTGGCTGATGAGAGGCTTTCCTTCAGCTGGTGATCCAGGGACCCAGGCTCCTTCCATCTTGTTGCTCTGTCATCTTTAAGGACTGGCTTTCAAAGTTTCCCTGGGTGTCAAAATCCATCCAGCAGATGGAAGAAGACAATTGTACGATCACCACTGGGAGATTCCTATAGGCTAGGATTGGAAGTCGCATCCATTACTTCTGCCCACATTCTAGTGGCTGGAACTCAGGAATATGGTCTCATCTAACTGGAGATGAGGTTGGGAAGTTGAGTTTAGTTGTGCATCCAGAAACAAGGGGAAACAGCTTTGGTGGACAGCTAATAAGTCCCTGCTATACCAACTGGAATGACCAAACAATTGAAAAATATAGTAGAGGATTTTTAGAGGTTAATTCAAACTAAGCATCCAAATACGTCTTTTATAATGTCTTTTATAAAATCATTAGCTGGTACTCTCCAATCTCTCTTTAGAAATTTCAAGTAACATGGAAAAGCATTACCTTGTAACACTCTGTCGTATGCATTTTAAAAGTATTTATATTTCTTTGCTAACATACAAAATACATAAACCGCAGTAGGACCTGATTAATACAACATGGCAAAGTTAAGTCTTTTAAGACACTAGACATATTTGAAAGTGAGTTCATTCTGGCAGTCATTAGGCAAACTCCTTATCATATTCTCATAATACTTCAGTCTCTTTCCTAGTACATTCCTATCTTTGATAAAAACAGAACAAATGATAATCTTGTTTGGGATGTAAATCACAGAAAGTGTCACTTAAGGTCAATGTTGGTTGGTGGTCTCCAGTCATATTTCACTTCTCATTAAAACAGCCAGACTGAAAATTGTGTCTAGAGGTGATGTTTAGTAAGTCTGACTTAGGAGGAAGGATTCAAGAATGAAAATGCTTCTGTCTATGCATATCATCTTTATGTCTCCAGAAACATTCAGAAATTCCTGTTGATTACAGCAATATCTACAGTTCAAAGAAGAATTCAAACCGCAAGCTATTCTAACATCTGTTTCGGTTTTATGGTCAATCTGAATAGTTGTAATTTACATTCACTGGCACCACACAATGAGGTTATTTTCAAACTACTGTGTTTTGTAAAAAGAAAACAAAAAACAAAAAAAAGACCTCCTTGTACTAAGATCTTGAGCCAAGTCTTAACTAGCCCTGTGAACAGAGGGAAAAATTGTACGAGTAATCAATAATAATTTAAGAACTAATCTTAGACCGTGGTCTTACCCTCTTTGCTGCTCAGCCTTATGGCTAACTCAGCCTTATAGCCTCAATGCAGTTCACTATCAACTTTAGGCCCCATCAGAGAAACTCATAAGAAGATACAGAAAAGACAATAATGAGGGTAGAAGAGAAGCAGAGGGCCTGGATAAAAGGATAATTACATCCCATAATTGAGAATGAGTGTGGCACAAGAATTATCGCTAAATGGAAACAGAATGCATCATGTAATCAGACCACCCAATAGGCATGGTAGATCATTTGTGAATGGAGGCGCCTGCTCTACAGCCCCAGTTAGGTATTTCCTTAGACAGATCTTCTTTAACCCTGTGAGGGACCTCACCAGCAAGCCTCTGATCCTCTGCCTAATGCTGCCCACATCAGTCAGGCACCACCGACTGCCTTTCCTTACTGGATTTGAACCAGCTTCATTTATACTAAGTTCTACAAATACGGAAACAATAAGCAACCTTAAAAGCAGGGCCAGGAAATTGCTACGTGATATGAAAAAGAGTAGTTGATCACTCAGAAGGTGCCTGGCTTTGTGCAATGTCCTCGACCATATTCAGTCCCATTTTATCCTCACAAAACCCTCTGAAGAGTATTGTGTTTTCCCATTTTGGAGATGACAATCTGAGGTACATAGAGATTATATGCATAACAGTGAGCAAGTTACTTAATCAGTGACAGGTTTGGGATGCAAAGCCAGATTTATCTCACTTTAAACAGCAAGTGTTTAACCACTGTTGAGTTATCTTTCTGATTCAGAGCTTCTTCAGACTGTGTGCACCTCACTGCTTAGCGGAGATTCTCGAATGGCTTTGAGCCTGGCACCCTTCTGTCGACTGTACTGCCTCTGGTCTCTGACATCTGCTGTTGATCCTCCTCCTCCACTACTGACCTCTGGTACTCACCCGGCTGGCTGCTTATCTACCTGCTGTCAGGCCACTCCAGTCCTCTCTCTGGCATCCTCCTTTCCCATCCCTGGGGTGATGTACACGGAACAGGCTATCACACAAGCAACCAGCAGACAATTGTATTACCACATTTTATTAGATTTGACACCCTTGACTTGCAGCACTTATTGTAATTTCAGAGATGTTAAAGGTGAATAAAACAAAACCAAAACCAAATCATTGGAATTGGTGAAATACTGAATGAGATTTGCAGTCTACAATGATAAGGCTTCTTCCATGAGAATTTCTTCTAAATGAGAAGTTGGAAAGTCTCGAGGTGATTTCTTTAAAGCCCTAAGTTAACATAATACATTTCATAATAAAAATTTATGATAGGGGATGTGGAATCAGACAACATACCTAGAACTTGTGGTTTTCCTTTTGTTCTCTTGTTACTTCATTCCACGTCCTTGGCACTCACACACCAAGCACACAGCCTGCTAAAGCCCCACAGCAGGATGTCTCTTATCAACATAAGATGCTGGTTGAAGTTCACTGTAAACAAAAACACCAGGAAACCCTTACTTGAACAAAATCAACACCTACTTTGATTTTGTGATTATCTTTTTCTTTACTAATTAAGTATATCAAACTTTGTGTCTGGTTGCCTTATTTACAGGTTAGTGATGCAAAATTAGTTAACTCGTGAACACAACCCACGACATCTACACATACTCTTAAGTAAATTACTGAAAAATAAAATAAAAAGATTAGAGTGAAAAGCTGACCCTTGGTTCTTATCCCAGTTACCAAGGCAGGTAATTGTTTATTTTTATTAACAGTTTGTTGGAGCCCCAAGAGCATGGAAGCGTTTGCCCTGTTTCTGCACAAGGAGCAGCAGAGGAAAGTGTAGAGGATATAAAGTGCTGAGACAGGGATTGTAGGTACAAAACTGGTCCTGTGCTCTCCATCAGTGTAAGTACTCAGGGGTTGCGCTTCAGGTAGTCCTCACAAGCTGGAGAGAAAAAGTGGGGACTTCCGAACGTAGCAGTTCTTTCCCCCCACTGCTTTGCATTCTCAACAATTAAATTAAGTGTCCAGGTGTGACATTCATTATTGGAAAAAGTCCTAGGGGCAGAACACAGCATTCAGTGTCACCTTAGTTTAGTTTATTAGTCACTACTTAGCTATTTGAGTTAGGGAAAAAACTCTCAAAGCACACCTCTTCTCTCTTTAGTTTACAACTGATTAAGCCAAGAGCAATTTTCTCCCTTCTATTCCTTATCCAGCTTTGGGAATGTTGAGCTTTTAGTACACCGGGGCCAATTTTCAGAATTGCAAAAGCGGTGCCATTTAACACTATAATAAGCCCACTGAAAAGCTGCAAATGCATTTCCACAGAGCTCTTATGAATTACTCCCGTGTATTTAGAATACGTTAACAGCTCTGGACCCACACCGTGTTCTAACACAAAATAAAAGTGAAATGATTTGCAATATTAGGGAACTCATAGACCATATGCCCCTTGGACTCAGGGTTGCATACAGTTATGAGAGTGTGTATGTGTGGGCACTCAGCTTGCCTAAGTTTGTCTCTCCACACAGGGTTGTATTCTGAAATGATAGCTCTGAATTTGTCACATATCTGGATACTGCAGCCCTCATAAGAGGCACAGCCAGGCATGCCAGGGGACAGGGAAGGGCCTATCGCAGAGAGGCGACATTTGCAAGGAGCTGAATTATAAGTGGTTCCTGCACCAGGGAATAGCCACCATCCATCGATCCCTCTATAGTCCCTGGTGATGGAAGGATGGATGATCGTAGCCAGAAGGCTGGAGTAAAGAAGGGAGAATTATGTGGTGTCAGTGGGTAAGCTAAGTTGATCTCCCCTCTGGGCCAAGAGTGCCTGAAATCTTCTTTGGGCTCAAATGGGAGAATCCATTCGTTTATTCACCTGTTCATTCAACAAACATGTAGAATATCTACGCTAGAAGGAAATTGAATATCCTCTGATCTTGGCAAATTTTGTCTTACTAAATTTTGCTTGACTTTTAGTCTTTTTTTGCACATAAGTGGGTAAGGACAAAAAAGCACCATTTATAAAAATGTGAAACTATCATAAATAAGCATTAAAACTTCAGAGTAAGATACAAAAACAGCAGTAGACTGATCCTGCTGTCCTGTCAGTGAAAAAGAGCTGAAATGTGTATCACGACCAGAGGTCAGCCAATTAGAAATGGGCCTCACTAGGCAGAGGATTTCCAACTGGGACCCCTTCTTTGAAAATTCCTCCTTTCCAGCAGCTGCTGAGATGTATGTGTGTGTATGTGTGTGTGACAGAGAGAGACTTTAGCAGAAACACACAAGCACATTTGTCATTTGATCACCATGTCGCATAAGAAGTGATAATCATAAACCTGTCAAATATCTGATTTAAAAGGAACATAATACATCAAATAATGGTTCTTTCTCCTAATTTACAATTGAGGAAAATGAGATTTAGAGAGTTTACTCATTAGTGGCAGAGTCAATGCCAAAGCCCAGACTTGTTCATCTTGGACACGCAAATTAATATCGGTTTGATTCATGTCTCCAGAGACTTAAAATGCATTTGGAGGTCAGGGCATGTTCAATGGGAACAAAAAATGGGGAACCCAGAGGTGCAAAGTTTCCACAGTTCAATATTCTTGGTGGGAGAGGGAGGGAACTCAGGAGAAAGCCTCATGGTCATGGCTGTAATGGTTTTCCAGATTTGTTAATGACAGAACTAGTGACAGACATCACCTAATTGCCAAGATGCCCCTGGTGTTTTCTTGCACACAGAGTCTTTGTGCCCAAGAGCAGAATACATTTAGGAGCACACTGGACTCTCTGATGTTATGTTAGGAGTGAAGTCACCATTGATTCTAAACTCAGCTCCAGCTACTACAAATTCCAGCATGGAGGATCTTTCTGGAGCGTTATTAGAACACACTGTAACCACCAGGAGTCCCTAAATCCTGTAATCTGTATTGACCTCTATTATGGTGACATTGATTCTACTGTTCCAAATGCTGAAGAATACTGGGGTTATGGTCATGATCTACAGCAACTTAACCTCCCCTACACATTCAGCATATGCTCCAAATTGTTAGTTATGGATGTAACCTACATCTCTACCCTCGTACTTTTCAGAGCTCACACAGAATTAACACCAAATGAATGAGGCCATAGGAAAGCAATGAAATGGATTTATTATTCATTTAGTCTGGTGGAAAAGGACTAATTACCTGGTAGTCAAATTTATATTTCCTTGAAATCAAGTCAATCTTGCAAAAAGCTCTTTTTCAAAGGCTCACTATAAAAAGCCCAGTGGGGAGATGAGAAATGACACTGCCCAGACACACCAGGACACCATGCCTCCCCACCTTCTGCTCTTGATGATGGGGGCCGAACTCAGTTTAACTGGCAGGGAGGTGCCTCTCTCTGATCCTCACAGATGGACACATCTATCAGCATGTCACGTAGGCGTCAGTTAGACCTGAGTTACGTTTTCCTCAGCTTTGGCACAGTCATAATGACTATGCAAATTTATCTGAGGGCTGTTCACTTGTAATGAAGGAAGAAAATATGTCCTGTGTGTATATCGGTTTGCAAGATGTATAATGACTTTCTCTTTTCTCTCAACAGCATGGCATGGGCCTCCCCTCCGTTTCTATTATGCTTCATGAACTCATCAAATTACTGCACCTTGACAGGAGCTACAACGTTACTATGATCGGGAGAATAGATGAGAGGGGTTGATTTCTACTTTTAAATCTAGGTGATAGTTCCATACAGGGCAGCTGCCAAAAGATACCAGCAAACTCAGACCCCGGCGGAAACCCAGATGGGCTAAAAAGTGTTGGGAGGCTTGGCTTGAGGAAATTTAAATTTAATGAAATAGTTCCTTTTAGCCTTCTTTTTTTCTCCATGGAAACCTGGAGTGAGAGGTCCCACTGCCTGTGGCCCAGATGGACTCAGGTATTCTTAAGGGAAAAAGTGGAAGAATTGCTGGGAAATATGTTTTGAGGATAAGAGTAAGTTTTGAGGGTTAGAGTAAATATTGAGGCTTAGGAACTTTATAAGTGACAGAAATAAGCACTTTCAAGTAAAAAAATAATCACTAGGATTTGCCTTGTTTGTCAGCTAGATAAGCAGACTTATTTGATAAGATAGCTCTTAGGAAAACATTGCTCACGTCAGTGACTATGTCCCTTCTCTTGGCTGGGTCTTTTCCTCATCAACACACCAGAAAAGATTAGGTTGGGCTTTTAAGGAAGGGCCCGTGATGCTTCCTAAGGTTTTCCCAGAACCTCCCCTCCTCCCGTCTTCCTTGGCTGGTCAGGCAGCTGGTCAAAGACCTTGTTTATGCTCCCACATTGGGTTGAGGTAAAGTTCTGAGGAAACCTCCTTCTTTTTCAACCTTTTATTCAGGAGCAGATCTTATGATGGGGTGGATTTTACTATGTCACAAAATGCAAATACAGACAGGACATTGTAACTAGAAAGGTTTGGCTGGCAGAGCGACAGAACTGAGTGGGAATTATTAAAAAATCTGAGATTTTGTGAGGGAAAGGGCATTAGAATTGTATACTTTTGGACCAAGAAAGGACCTCAGAAATCCTGACACAAAGAACTAGAGAGGTGACTTGTCCAATATCACAGAGCTACAGGTGGTTGAGCCATGCTTCTCTAGAAAGAGACATGTTCAAAGAGACAGTGCCCTTCCCACAGCTGTGGTACAGGAATGAAGGTCCAGCCAAGGGCCTCACAATGAGATTGAGAAGGACACCTGTGGAGGTTCATCCAGAAAGAGAAGGAGAATGTTAGCAATCAGTGTTGGATCAGTCATCCTTCTGGACTGTAGTTTATTCAATGTTACCCCAAATAGTCAACAGTAGGGAACAATGCATTTGGGGATAAAATGGATGACATTGTTATTAAGTTTGCTTATAATTCTCGGGTAGTGGAATACAAGGATCTGCCTCTATAGCCCATGCCCACGCAATGTACCATCCTGATTGTTGCAGTTGCCGCTTGATATTAACAAGTGTCTAGCATGTGCAAGGCACTCTGCTGACCATCCTGCTTGTGATCTTGGAATTCTAGGTCTTTTGGTTAATGGCAACATGATACATACAGCCCATAGGCAGTACCAGTATCACAATGAAGACCTACGAATCGTGGCCAATTAAAGCACTATGCTGTTGTGGATACCTTCATTTTGGAGTTTATCCTTTTTAAGAACTCTTAGCTTCTAAATAAGATGAATAAGATGTATTTGTTTGTTCTGTTTTAAGCAGCATTGCACTTGGAGATGAAGGAGGCACAGCTTATTCCTCTGCTGATATTACCACTCCTTAGATGGGCCAACAAAACTTGGTGAGGATAAAGTATTCAATTAAACAGTATTTTGGCCTTTGAGAGATTTTAACCATGATGTAAATGTCCTAATGCATCTAAATATTAGGATGGCATGTGAATAACATCATTTTTAATGCACACATTTTCAACTTCATTCCCAATCACTTTCCTATTCTTAAGACGTTGTGAATAATTCAAGGAGTCACCTGTTTGACTTACTTAAAAAGTATCTGAGCCACCAAGCCTCTATCATCAGAGCTCACTTTGGATCTCTAGCTGGATCTTCTGAAGTTTCCTGTAATTACTCTATGTTGATTAATATTGGAATTTATAAAAACCCAGAAGGATATGGCTGTGCTCTATGGCAGGTCTTGGTAAACTTTTTCTGTAAAGGGCCAGATACTAAATATTCTAGGCTTTACAGGCCAAATGGTTTCTGTTGCAGTGTGGAAGAAACCATTGACAATATATAAATGAATGAATATGGCTGTGTTTCAATAAAACTTTATTTACAAAGTCAGGCTAGAATTGGCCCATGGATTGTAGTTTGCAGATCTCTGCTTTATGGCATCTCTATGGATGCATTCACTCATTCAACAGATTTTTATCGAGTAGCTATAATGTAATAGGCATAATGCTATACCTGGGAGACAACAGTGAACACATGTTGCTCTTGCCTTTGTAGAGTTAATGTTTTATTAGGGAAATTCACAAGCAAATGAGTAATTACAAAAGTGTGATGACAGTTAGACCAGAGAGAGTCTAGGATGCTCTCAATATATATGCAGGCTCTAAACAGAAATCAAATGGGTCATAAACTGGGTCAAAAACTGGGCCTGGGGAAACTGAATGTAACCTATCTGTGTTGCCTTTAAATTTTTATTCGCCTTCCATGGATTCAGACCGTTTGAAGGAAGTGGTTTAAGCTGACACCTGAAGAATGAGTTGGTGTGAGTCTGATGAAGGGATGTGGGGGGAAGAGAATAGAGCAGTCCAGGCAGGGAAAATAGTAGTTGGCAGAAAATGGTTTCTTAAGTAAGCTTGAGTCCTATAAGCAAGGCCGATTTTATGGCATTGGAAGTTCAGCCAAGAGGCCTAATTTACATGGGGTCTGAGAGGGGAGGAGGGAATGGATGTGACAAGAATCAGAAGGAAGAGAGGCTAGAGATGCAAAGAAACTGTAGTAATCAAGGAGTTGCAGAGAAGATGAAACATCAAGTAGTCACATCACTTGGTGAAAGCTACTTGCTGGGAGGTTCATTTAGTTTATTCCTGACCTAATTTATTCAAATTTGTGCCCGAAGGCCGGTACTAATTTGCATGTCCAAGAGTCATGTTTGTCTTGAAATCTAAACCCCATCACATTGTAAATGTGAATCTGGGAAGACAGCAAATGTAAATGCCTGTTCTGAATGTTATTATTTAATTGCATTTGGAAAAGAAAAAAATTTTAAAAATGAAAATAGGGAGAATCATTAGCAACTAGCATTAATTAATGTTGGCAGAATAGATTACATATTATGCGTCAAAAGCAAACTCTAAATGACATTCTTCTGTAATCACTTATTCATTCCCATGTTTCCAGGATTGCACAGGCATCTGTGGTAATAATGGATACAATCATAGACTCTTTCTTTAAGCCCCGTTTGAACAGGTAACTTGGTAACTTCGTCCTCCGAAGTACTGAACTTGACAAGCAACTGTAGGAGGAACTATTTTCAACTGTAGCAAAGAAATTCCCGACTTCCCAACCCTCATTGGACATACACCGTGTACTTATGATTTTTATAAAGGTGAGAATAACTAATAAACTGTGAAAACAACAGAAAATTGCCAGCAACTCTTTGTTATTCAAACCCATGATTTATATTAAAAGCTCCACTTTAGAAAATTAATACTTGGGGATTAAAAAAGGAACTGAAATAGCCTTTTTAACTTACTAAAGCATAGAAATGTGAGTACATAATAAGCAGCAGAGAAACACCCATAATGAATTTATATTGAGAGTGGGTTTAATCCTCCGAGAACAAATTAAACACTAAAATGCAATTAGTGATGTTAGCAAAATCCTATCTCTGTTTATGCCTTTAATTTAAATTGGTGACTCTAGGAGAAGAGGACTATTCTGATTCTATATTTATGCCGATCTGATACCCAGGAAAGAATAAGGACCAGGAAAGGGGGAGAAATGTTTGCCGGAGGAAATCCCAAAGGAATGGGGTGGTCTCAGAGAGGTTCTTTTATTTCTTGGCCATGACCAAAGGGTCCTCAAGTCAAGTTTAGGGACAAATTGAAGGTGACCACCAAGCAGCAGCTCTTGCTACAAGGGGAGAGGGGTCAGGAGAAAACACCCTCAAGGACAGGCTCTGCTTATTCCAGAAGAAAGAATCTAACCAAGGTTGGTAACATTCCTGGGAGGGCATTCTAGAAATCTTGAAGTGTAGTTGTGTTTGAGTATATCATCAAACTACTTATTACTTCATTTTAATTATTTTTATTTTTCCCTTTGGATCAAACTTAGGGTAGCATATTAAATTTTTAAAAATTATATATGAAGACAGGCTATATTATCTACAAATTTTACTTCAGGTTAGTAAAGGTGCTGCCACTATATATGCATTACAAAATAGGAGAGATGTTGGCTCTTACAGAGTTGAGACCCTCTCTTGTAAGCCACTGGCTCCTTCATCAGGAGAGCCACCGATGAGTTTAAGCCAGAGCTTGCAAAGGACAGCCTGTTAGAGTTGATGTTCACACTCTTTTTAAAACGTGAATTAGAGCCTGCCCTGATGGCCTAGTGGTTAAAGTTCAGTGCTCAGCACTTGGGCAGCCTGGGTTCATTTCCTGGTCGCAGAACCACACCACCTGTCTGTCAGTTGCCATGCTGTGGCAGCAGTTCACATAGCAGAACTAGAATGACTTACAACTAGGATAGATAGCCATGCACTGGGGCTTTGGGGAGGAAAATAAAAAGAGGAAGATTGGCAACAGATGTTAGCTCAGGGCAAATCTTTCTCTGCAAAAAAGAGAAAGTGAATTATTTTGCTGACATTTATAATTTCTGGAGATTTCACGCGAAAATCCAGATTTTCAGCTTCTTGAAATAACATATATGACATAAAAAATATAAAATAATATATGCATGGTAGTGCTGGCAAAACCTGGTCCACATCCAGGGCTACATTCGCTGAAGCTGAGGTGAGGCTGCTCCCCTCAGACCAGGCAGACCTCATTGACATTACCTGCTAGTTCTGGGACAGCTGAGTTTGAAATGATTTAAATAACACTGCATTAGAGGTGCTGTCAGGCAGCCCTGAGGAGGAGGGAACAAGGAGAAGCAGACAGCCAGGATGGAAGTGGAATGAAAGAGATGGAGGAAAGGAAGAAAAAGAGAGGAAAGGGAGCCAAAAGAGGATCGCGCAAATAATGGATGGTGACAGAGTGCTGTTGGCTCACCTACTTCCATCAGGCCATCCTTGTGAGTGGGGAGTGGAGAGGTCTGTTCCTGTACACGCAGGGTGGAGAGTAACAGCACCAGGATTTTCTTCACCTCCTAGTGTCCCCACTAGTCAATACAGGTGAAATTAAGTGATAGATGAACACTGAGAACAGCCTAGAAGGGAAAAAGTGATTACAAAAGGCTAGCATACAGCCAAAGAGGTGGAATAGCAGGCAAAAAGGTAGACAAATCGATTGTCTGTATCTAGCTACAGACTACTGTATATGTCTGTATTTGGCTACTACTACCGTCATGACGGCATATGAAAAGCTGCAATGTCCAAAGCATCGTCCTGATTCTCAAGTAGCGTATGAGCATCACAGAGTCTTGAAGCCCCTTCTTCTCCTGCAGCACTCATCCCTGGGGCATCCCCCAGTCACGGAAGCAAACTAGGATTTTCCTCATAGGGTAGAACTCTCAGCGGCCCTCTAGTTCATACTGGCCCTGACAGTGCTGGCTGCTGCAGACACTCAGTGGTTACTTGCCCAGGAGCTGGGGCACTCAGTGCCATGGAGATTCTCCTCTCTATAATATGAGACTCTTGAGCTGGGCACAGCCTTCTTCCAGGTCCTCTGATGGGAAGATTCAGATGGCTGGGTTTATCCTACATTGGGAGCAGGCCCAAGAGTTAGAGACAGCCCAGAGCACTGAGGCTGACAGCAAGCCTCTTAGTGACGCCACTACCACCATGGTAGGAAACCAAGTCGCTGAATGTTTTCCATTCTCTTTCAGGCCAGGGTCGACTAGATGGAGCACTGGGCTCCTTTTCCAGAGAAAAAAGTTAGATTAATTGAAGAGAGCATACAAAGCCAGTGTCAGGAATATTAAAATGGAATCTACAGTGTTTGTGGGTATGTGTAGACTTTGTGGTCTAAAATGTAAGCTGTTCATGAATACCTAGGGTCAAATTCTCCTCTTTCATAAAGATATTTTCACTCTGCAGGAGAAGAAAAAGGAATCCAGCCATATATTACTTTAGGTTGAATGCATACCTTATAATTGTTTATAACATGCATTGTCTCTTAAGGCCTCTTGAGTGGGCAAGGCATTATCCCCATTATGCAAATGAGGAAACCAAGTCTCAAGGGTCAAAAATGAGTAGCCTAAGGTCACCAACTAGTGGGTTATGTAGCCAGGACTTGACAGCAAGTTCTGCTTTCTTCATCCTGGTAGTGGCTGCTATTTTCTATTACAATTGAAAATACAATTTATTGAGACATGATGCAAACAAAATATTCCTAAAATAGTCCATCAAAGGACAAAACATCAGTGAAGTAATGTGGTTTTAAAGTTAGTTTGCATGCATTTTTGCTTTTCCCAACTTTTTATTTTGAAAAATTTCAATAATACAGAAAAACTGAAAGAATAGTATAATAAATACCTGTATACCCTTTATCAAGATGCCACAATTTTTTTTTCCTTCGGGAGGAAGATTTGCCCTGAACTAACATCTGTGCCAATCTTCCTCTATTTTGTAAGTGGGTCACCACCACAGCATGGCTGACGAGTGATGTAGGTCCATGCCTGGGATCCAAACCCGCAAACCTGGGCTACTGAAGCAGAGAGCAACAAACTTAACCACTAGGCCACAGGGCCAGCCCCAAGATTCAACAATTTTTAATATTTTGCCACATTTGTGCATACTTCCTAAATATATATATTCACACATATATGTATGTGTACATATATATGTGTGCATATATATACACACACCCCTATTTGCTTTTTTCCTAAATCATTAGTAAATGAATTGCAAACATCATGCCAGTTAACTCCTGTACCTCCGCATCATTTCTTAAGAATGATATTCTCCTGATGACCACAATACCACTATCAAACTGAAATAAAGCTAAGAAAAGTAAAAATAGTTTCATGACATCATTTAACATCCATTCCATATTTAAATTTCCCTAAAAATATTTTTTATAGATTTTCTTCTTATCCAATATTAACTTAACTTCATACACTGTATTACTTGGTTGTTATAGCTCTGTACTTTTTACATCTAGAATAGTCCCGCTATTTTTCTTTTTGCCCATGACAACAGATTTTTTGAAGAGTCAAGGCTGTTATCTTGTAGACTATCCCATGCTCTAGATTTGTCTGTGTCTTTCCTGAGGGGGTTTCACTTGTTCATCTACAATGCATCTTTCCTGTAAAGTGGAAGTGAAGTCTAATGGCTTGATTAGACTCAGCTGTGTGGCAAGAACGCTTCATAGCAATGTGAACTTTCCATCGCACTGCATGAGGGAAATGTAATGTGAAGATTATCCCCTATGAGTCATTTCGAGTTGGATCACTGGATTCAAGTGGTAACTGCCACCTTTCTCCAGTGAAAAGTTAAAGTTTTCTCTTTGTAAATGGCTAGTAATCTATGGGTGATAATTTGGCACTGCATGAATATCCTGTAACCCAACCGTCTTCTGCCCAATGATTTTAGTATGGGTTGCAAAATGATAATTTTTTAATTCCATCATTCCTCCTACGTTTATTAGCTACCATTCTTTTTTAAGAAGAGCTTTTCTTATTCATCCTCCTCCCCCACTCCAATCTCTTGTTTTTTCTTTTTGGTTGAGGGCAGTCATTATTATAGATTTTGTCCAAATCAGTGTGTTATAAACAGTTTCTGTCATTATTCTTTTTGATACTCAATTATCCCAAATTTGGCCAGGAAGAGTCCCTTCTAGCACACTCTTTTGTCCTTTTGACATAATCCTATTAGTTCTTGAAGAATTTTCTTGCTTTCAGGCACAACATGATTCTCAGGGACAACTCGCACTTTCCTTGCCTCAGGTCTGGAACCAGCCATTTCTCCAAGAAGCTCTGGTTCCTTTCAGTGGGGAACAGTATTTATAAACAAAATATGGATGTGGCATGCATTTTTATTTTTGGTTAAATTATTCCAATAAAATCACAAACCTTTCACCAGCACCAGGGAAAACTATAGAAGAAAACATATTTTTCATTAGAACTAATCAGAATAACTATTCTTTGTGATTTTAAATTATTTTCATAGCCATCCTCTAGGTAAAAAATTGTAAATGTTATTGATGGAAGAGAGTAAAGCTGCAAAGTGAATAAAATATTCTTTATTGAATTGACTATGAAAGCTTCAGATCTAAAGTAGAATAGCATCATCTAAAATAATGTTTTGAGTGGGAAACCGTCCCCAGATATTAACAATGGTGTCCAAGAAAACATTGGAGCAACTTTTTTCAGACTTCATGGTTTTGCATTTCACACAGAAATTATCTTTTTTTCAGAAAAATTCCGTAAGATATGTCATTAATTCAAATGTATTTTATAGCGTGCCTACTGAGTGAATGGCACACTACTAAGAAGCCTAGTTTTTAAATTAGATCTTTGGTTGATAAGATTTATCTCAATCATTATCTTTCTAAAGAAAGAAGGACTTTCTCCTGTGTATCAAGTAGTGGCCTGTGTACCCAGGCAATGGGGATACAGCAGCAGACAACACAGACAAAATCTCTGCCTTTATGAAGTCTAGTGAGGGAGACAAATAACAACAATAAAGAATAATGTATAATAACAGTAATATGTTAGATGCTGAAGAGTGCTAAGGTGAAAAATAAGGTAGGAAAAGGGAACAGGGATGACTGAGGTACGAAACCATAATTCAAAATAGCATGGTTGGAAAGAGTGTATTGAGAGGGTGCCATTTAGGGTGCCATATGGATATCTGGGGGAAGAGCAGTCTGGAAATGCCCAATCTAAGGTCACCAGGCAGAAGCATACAGAGTGTGTTGGAGGAACAAGGAGACCCGTGTGGCTGGAGGAGAGTGACAGCAATGGAGAATGGTAGGAGATGGCAGGAGTGCAGATTTTGTGGTCACTATGAGGACAGCGACTTTCACTCTAAGCAAAATGGGAAGCCATTAGAGGGCTTTGAATAGGGAAGTGACTGGATCTGACTTGTGTTTTAACAGGATCATACCGGCTACTGAGATGGGAAGAGACTACTGGGGGTCAAGGGCAAAAGCAGGGAGAGGACTAAGAGGGCTAATGCAGTAGAGATGATGGACCAGGGTGACAGCAGCAGAGGTATTGAGAAGTAGTTAGACTCTAGATACATTTTGAAGACAAATCCAATAAGATTTGTTGACAATTTCATGCAAATTTTGAGAGAAATACAAGAGTTACGAATGACTCCCAGGTTTTTGCCCTGAACAACCAAAAGGATGGAGTTATCATAATTGGGATAGAAAAAAACTGGGTGGAGATTTAGGGGGAGTGGATATCAAATGGAGGCCAGGTAAAGAGGTGGATTTATGAATCTGAAGTTTAAGCGAGAAGTTTGGACTGGAGAGGTAAAATTGTAAGTTGACAGCATATGGATGGCATTTAAAGCCATGCAACGGATGAGATGACACAGAAAATTAGCATAGAAACAGATAAGAAAATGTCCTTGGTTAGACATTAACAGTTAGGGGAGAGGAGGGAGACCCAGCAAAGGAGACAAAGGAGGAGTAGCCGGTGAAATTGGCAGTACACCTGGAGAGTGTAGCATCCTGGCATCCGGAGAAGAAACCTTCAAAGAAGAAGTAAAGAATTATAGCATGACAATGCTTCGTTTTATCACAAGTGGAATTTTAATTCCAATATTTGTCCTTATAGTCAATCAATTTTAATATACAAAAGGTTTGTGTCAACATTTCTAAAAATACATTTTAAAGTTCTATTTCATAAGAAGAGATTATTTGTAGAACCACTATCCTTAACGACGCCCATCTTTCAGGCTGAAGAACAGCATCCTCGTCCTCTTTAGAAGGTCATTGCTAATACACTCTTTCAGAGAAACGATAGCATCTGCTTTTCTCTGCATCAGTTAGTGAGGGGGAGCTCCAGCTGGGGGCAGCTTGACTTTGCCTGAGCAGCAATTCAATCAGCACACAGTCTGCAAGAATACGTGGATTCAGATATTTCTGCTCCAGGAAATGCCTCCTCCCATTTCTTTATTTTAGAAACAAGTGGTCACTTGAGTCATGTCTCCACATAATTTGTAAATGGAGCAGAATTTCTTAACCAGTTTAGTTAAACATAAAATGCTTACTTACAAACATGCTGCCCTGATGTAAGTTTGGTGATGACCACAGTTCTTTCTTACAAGGCACCGATTGGCAGTCAGGGAGAGTTCTAGGTTTGTGAACCCTGGACCCGTGTACTTCTCTCTTTAAGGATGTTTCCAAAACCTCAGAGAAGTCATTCTTTTATGGGGGATTTTCTGTCCTTGCACAAATCCTTGTGACCTTGCTCTCTCTGCCACCTGCAAGTGCCTTCCTGGACTCTTTCCTCTCTAGCGTGTTGTATTTCCTGCCCCCTGCTGCATTTTCCTTTTTCAATGGCTGCTGAAACTGCTGGTAGCTGATTTCAGCCTGCCAATAGCTCTCTTCCAGGCCACTGCTGCAGGCTTCTTGTTCAGCTGACCCCTTCTTGGCTGCCAACATTCACACAAAAGATTGCGTCTGTAATTTTGTAATTGTGTAGTTCTTGTCCTTCTGTAGTTCTTGGAGTACTTCTGTCCAATTTCTTCAGAGTGACAAGGACATTTTATCTCCCTCAGATATCACTGTTTTAAAAGGTGAATTCCTGGTACGGTGCCCCTGGAAGATCAAGCACCAAGGACATGGACAAAACCCCATACACATGATGCTACCATGTTCATCTTTCATCACCACTTCATAACATCCTTCCCCCATGGCAGTGAAGCTTGGAAGCTGCGACATGGCACCTTGTGATTGCAACTCACTTACAACCCGCTCTGTGTGGGCTAGGAAAGCTAGCTTTGGGGAAGGGCTGAGAGAACCTTCACAAGCAACTGTGGAAACATAGAGGAAGCGAGGGAGGATATACCAACGGT